ATATATATATATATATATATATATATATATATATATATATATATATATATATATATATATATATATATATATATATATATATATGCAATTATAAATAATAAATATTTACTTGCAATTATTTATAAATGCTTATTTTCTTTTAATGCAAATCTTTACACAAATGCGCACTTGTACTTATATGCATGCATGCATAAAACAACAAAGCGGCGGCGGGTTGGAGTTGAATTAATTTCCGAAATTAAATCAACTCCGAAGAATTAAATCCCCTTCAATTGCATTTCCAAAAGAATTAAATCTCCTTTAATTGCATTTCCAAAAGAATTAAATCTAATTTAATTGCATTTCCTAAAGATTTAAATCTCATCAAACCAACAAAAAGCCCTCGGACTCCCGGGGGCCCCGAAAGCCGCATGCGTGGGGTGTCTCGGGAGCTGGGATCGTCTCCAGCCCCACACTTTGGGGTGTACGTACACCCCGCGGCCCCACACCCTCGCCCACCAACTCTTCCGAGTCTCCAGCAGCAGTTTCTTTTTTGTTTTTATTCCAGAGGGCCCCGAGGGTCCCGAGGGGCCCCAGGGCCCCCAGCCCCCAGGGGCCCCAGGGGCCCCCGGGGGGCCCCCCCGGGGGCCCCCCAGCAGCGCCTGCATGCAACTAAAAGCCAAATTAAAAGGAAAAAAAGAAAAAGTGCCAACAAATTCCAAAAACGAAAGCCCAGGGGACTCCAGAGAGTGCCAGTGAACTCCGCGGGGATTCGAATGGCCCGAATGGGGGGGTAGGAGGGCGGGAGCGGGTCTCGCGGGGCCTCTGCTGCTGCTGCTGCTGCTGCTGCTGCTGCTGCTGCTGCTGCTGCTGCTTGGCGCGCGCTGCGCTTGGAGGCGTGCAGCACCTGGTGCAGCAGCTGCCCCGACTCTGCGTCCACGAAGTTCATTCGAATCTCTTCTTTGGAGACTTCCGTGAAAACAAATCCATGAACAGTTTGTTGAAAAAGACAATTCGAGTTTTTGCAAACTGCTGCTTCTTTGCTGCAGCTGCTGCCCAGCAGCGCAGCAGCGCAGCAGCGGGGGCCCTTCGCGTGCAGCTTCGACCCCGACCCGCTTATCACCTGCTCCAGGGGGGCCCCCGTCTTCTCGGGGCCCCACAGCTGCAGCAGCAGCAGCAGCAGCACAGCAGCAGCAGCACAGCAGCAGCAGCAGCAGCACAGCAGCAGCAGCAGCAGCACAGCAGCAGCAGGGGGAGGAGGGAGTTAGGGGCAGCAGTTTGCAGGGGTTCGAGAAGCTCTTTGGGCGCTAACATCTGCCGAGAACAGCAAACCCTAAACCCTAAACCCTAAACCCTAAACCCTAAACCCTAAACCCTAAACCCTAAACCCTCGACTGCGAAGGCGCGGCTGCGCGCACAGAGCGCGCCCCACGAGCCAGCGAGGGTTTGGGATTAAGGGTTTGCAGGGCGAGGGGAGGGAGGGGTTGCGAGGGTTTGCAGCTAGGGTTTAGGGTTTAGGGTTTACCTGGAAGTGGGACAAAAGGTGTTCGTGGCCCGCAAACAAAACATCAACATGATGCTCCAGAAAAACCGGCAGCAGCAAATTTTGAAAAGAAGGAATGTTTCGAATTTGCGTAGCTTCCGTGAACAGCGGGTGGTGTTGGTGCACGAAGACCCAGTCCGCTTCTGCTGCTGCTGCAGCCACACGCGCCAAACCCTAATTTAGGGTTTAGGGTTTAGGGGGAGGGTTTGGGGTCTAGGGAGTGTGGTTTAGGGCTTAGTAGGGCTCCCGTGGACAGCGGGTGGTGTTGGTGCACGAAGACCCAGTCCGCTTCTGCTGCTGCTGCAGCCACACGCGCCAAACCCTAATTTAGGGTTTAGGGTTTAGGAGGAGGGTTTGGGGTCTAGGGAGTGTGGTTTAGGGCTTAGTAGGGCTTCCGTGGACAGCGGGTGGTGTTGGTGCACGAAGACCCAGTCCGCTTCTCTAAACCCTAAACCCTCAAACGAGGGTTTAGGGTTTAGGGTTTAGCTCGCAGCGAAGTTCTGGGTGTTTATTGTTGCTAAAAACCCCAAAGTCTCTTTTAATTAAAGCGTTGTTAATTAATTAAAGTCTATTTAATAAATAAAAGTTTAATTAATTAAAGTTTATTTAATTAAATAAATTTTAATTAATTAATTAGAGTTTATTTAATTGAATAAAATCTTTTTTAATATTTAAAAGTCCCTTTTGAACAATTTGAAGTCCTTTTTACAATTATTTTAAATGAATTAAAAGTCTTTTTTAATTAATTTAAATCTTTTTAAATTAATTTAAATCATTTAAGTGAAACAAAGTTTTATGAAATAAAATAAACTCCTTTTAACAAATTTAAACCATTTAAATGAAATATTATTAAATGAAATAAAGTCCTTTAAATAAAACGAATTATTTAAATTAAATAAAATGTTATCAAATAAAATAAACTCCTTTGAATAAATATGAATCATTTTAAATAATGTTTAAATGAAATAAACTCCCAATAAACACAAATCATTTTAAATGAAATAAAGCTTAAAATAAAATAAACTTCTAATAAGCATAAATCATTTATTGAAATAAAGTTAAAAATAAAATAAACTTCTAATAAACGTAAATCATTTAAATGAAATAAAGTTTTAAAAGAAATAAAGTCCTCACCAGCCCGCAGCACATCTTTGAGAAAAGTCATTTGTTCTTCCACGAAAATGGAATTGGAAAGAAATATATTTGAGTCCAAATGAACATTAACAATGGTCACTGAACTGGTTTCGGGTGTACGTACACCTCGCGCCGGCTCCTGCGCAAAAAAGCGCAAACCCCCAAACCCTAATTTAGGGTTTAGGGTTTAGGGTTTGCGCTCGGCGCTTCCCGCGCGCGCGCGCCAGTCCCTAAACGCTTTGCTAAACCCGCCGACGCAAACCAAAGCCCTTCTCCAGACGCCAACCCACAATCTACGCAAACCCTAATTTAGGGTTTAGGGTTTAGGGTTTGGACGCACTGTTACGGAGCCCCTTTTGAAAGGAGAATCCTGCAGATGCACCGGGACCTGTCTGTACACCAGACGCGTGTAGTACCAGGGATTTGGAAAGCGCCATCGGACATTTGCTGCTGCAGCAAAAAGCACATTTGCTGCTGCAGCAAGAAACATTTGCTGCTGCAGCAAAACATTTGCTGCTGCAGCAAAAAACATTTGCTGCTGCAGCAAAGAGCACATTTGCTGCAGCGGCAAAAAGCACATTTGCTGCTGCAGCAAAACACACATTTGCCGCTGCAGTTCGCTGCTGCAGGAAATGGACTTCTGCTGCTGCAGGATAAAAGACATTTGCTGCTGCAGCAAAAGGAGATAATTGCTGCTGCTGCAGGAGACATCTGCTGCTGCAGCAAAAGGAGACATTTGCTGCATTCAAGCGGTTTGCCAAATAACAAAAGACAAAATTAGTTTTAAAGACCTTTTGATTATTAAAGAGACATTTAATTCAAAAAGGAGACAATCCATTCAAAAAGGACCCCTTGAGGACTGCAGCAGCAGCAGCAGCAGCAGCAGCAGCAGCAGCAGCAGCAGCAGCAGCAGCAGCAGCAGGAGTCTCAGAGCGCGGATTGGAGCGGTGTGACCCTTTTTCTTGCGGGAATTTTCGCGAGGAGTTCGAAAAAAGGGATATTAAGTGCTCAATCGATCGAAAAGTTTGTCTTTTTTTGAGAAAAAGTTTCAAACTTTGACCCACAATTGAAGTCCTGGGGGCCCCGGCAGCCGCGGCAGGCGGCGAAGAAGTGCTCGACTTGGGCGTCGGGCGAAAGCTGGTAGTCGTGGTTTCCCAGAATTGGAAAAAAGGCCACCTGGGAGAAATAAAAAGCCAAAAAGAGGAAAAAAAGAAAAGAAAATGACAGAATTTGAAGCACTAGCAGCTGCAGCAAAAGGCTGCAGTCGTCTCTGGTGAGAAGCGCGGAAAAAATGATGCAAAAAAATCCAAAAACCAAAAAAAACGAAAAAATAAAACCCAAAATTCGCACAAGAATCAAAATAGACTGCAAACCCTAAACCCTAAACCCTAAACCCTAGACCCTAAACCCTAAGCCCGAACGCTTAAGCCCCCATACACAAACCCAAAACCCTAGACCCTCAGCCCTAAACCCTAAACCCTCAGCCCTAAGCCCCAAACCCTAAACCCTCAGCCCTAAACCCTAAAGCCTCAGCCCTAAACCCTAAACCCTAAACCCTAAACCCTAAACCCTAAACCCTCGCTCACGCGTCTGAGGGCGGGGTGTCCGAAGGGCTCTTCGAAAACACTTTCGAACTCTTTGTCTTGAGGTGTCTGTACACCTGAAGGGTAAAAGTTGTCTCCCAAAAGAGACACAAAAGAGACCGGCAGCAAAGAGCTCAACTCCCCTATTCGGCGAGTCACCTGCGCGCAAACCCTAAACCCTAAACCCTAAACCCTAAACCCTAAACCCTAAACCCTAAACCCTGCGCCCTAGGCGCTACGCCCCGGTTGCTGGCTGGCCGAGAGCCCTGCGGGGGTGTGAGAAGCCTCGCCAGATGCGCCTAAACTCCAAACCCTAAACCCCAAACCCTAAACCCCAAACCCTAAACCCTAAACTCTAAACCCTAAACCCCAAACCCTAAACACGGTTGGCCGAGAGCCCCGCCTAGACCTTAGAAGCCCCCCAGATGCACCCAAACCCCAAACCCCAAACCCCAAGCCCCAAGCCCCAAACCCTAAACCCTAAACCCTAAACCCTAAACCCTAAACCCTCGCCTGGTGGAGTCCGTTGGAGAGCAGCCCCGTGTCTCCAACTGCAACAAAGTAAACCCCTTTGGAACCATCTCGAACTCTTTCTGCTGCTTCTGTCCCTTCGCAATTAAAATTAAAATTTAAATTTATTTTTTCTTTCGACTTTGCGCAGCGCAGCGAGTCCAGCGAGTGCTGCCACAGCGCAGGGGGGTCCACTGCAGCAGCAGCAGCAGGGGAGAGGCCGAGCTCGTTGCTGTTTCTTCAGCTGCTGCTGCTGCTGCTGCTGCTGCTGGGGATCCTGCTGCTGCTGCTGCGTCTGCTGCTGCTGCTGCTGCAGGCGGGGAGCTCAGCGGCGGCAGCTCCAAGTTGCCGCTGGTTGCTGCGGCTTCTGCGGACTCTGTGCCCCTCTCCTCGCTGCTGCTGCTGCTGTTGCTGCTGCTGTTGCTGCTGCTGCTGCTGCTGGTGCTTGTGCTGGTGGTGCTGTTGCTGCTGCTGCTGCGATGTGCAGCGAGAGGGGGAGCTGGGGTGGCTGTGGGCGTTGCTGCTGCTGGCGCTGCTGCTGCTGCTGCTGCTGCTGGCGCCGCTGTTGGTGCTGCTGTTGGTGCTGCTCTTGCTGCTGCTGTTGCTGCTGCTGTTGCTGCTGCTGCATGCAGCGGGTCTGGGGCGTTGAGGAGGGCGCAGAAGAGGGGGAGAGCCAGGAGCTTCATTTGCTTCTTTTGCTGCAGCTGGGGAAAGTGGAAGTTTGGAATTTGAATTTTTGTCTCAAAAAGGACTATTTAGGCTCTTTGGCAACTATTTAGAAGAAAATAGAAAAGAAAAGTGCAAAGAAAACCCCCAATTCGGCAGAGTCCGGCGCTGCAGCAGCAGCGGCGGCGAGAGCAGCAGCTGCACTTGGGGTGTACAGACACCTCAGCGCGCGAAACCAAACCCGCGGCGACCAACTCCAGCCTTCAGTTTTTCCTTTTTGAATTTATTTTTTGCGTTTTTTAACGCAATTTCATTAAAAGGGATTAATTTGGCGGGTTTGGCGGCGAGAGAGCCGCGGGAAAGGTCTGGCTGGCGGGCGGCGGCTCTGCGGGGAGGCGCGCGGGCTGCTGCTGCCTCCGGCTCCCTCGAAAGCAGAAATAAGCAACTTTTTGGCTTTTATTTCATTAAAATGAAATTCCCGTTCAAAGAAATCCAAAAAACTTCCCGGCTCCGCGAGATTCCCGCAGAATCCTCCTGGCGACCGCACTCACCACCCCTGCCGCTCACGCCGCCACCGCTGCGCATGCAGCTCCTCTTTTCGAACTTTTTTCTTTTTAAATAGTCTTTTTTTACTTTTGAAAGTCCTTTTTATCTTTTTTCCGCTTTTTTCCGCAACTTTCGCCGCAAAAGGCGCTCGCGGTTCGCCGCCGCGCTCGCGGGCGCGGGGTGTACAGACACCGCGCGCTGGCTCCAGCGCCGCCAGTTCAACTTCGCCACAGACAACACTCTCGCCATTTAATTCATTTCTTTTCATTTATTTCTCTTTTTAATTCCATTAAACTCCCAACACTCTCAAGAAGAAAAGATTTAGCCGCGCCTTCGCGCCCCCAGACACTCCGCAGCAAAGGAGAATTTGTGTTTGGCAACTTTTCGCAAAAAAGGTCTTTAAATGCCTTTTTTTTCCTTTTCTTTTTTTTTCAAAAAATAAAAAACAATTATTTCTTTTTTCTGCTTCTTTTCGTGTAATTACACCCCAGAATCAGCCTCGGGGCCCTCAAAAATCCTTTTGGATTTTTTTTTCATTTCATTTTTCAAGTCACTTTATTTGCAACTTTTCCTTCTTCAGAAAGTCCTCAGGGGCCCCGCAGGAAGAAATAAATAATTCCATTTCTAAAATGAAAACAGAAATAAAATAAATAAAAATCAAAAAGGAAATAAATGAAAAGTGCCAACAAAGAAACCATTTGTGCTATTTCAGTTAGCCTCTAGGGCCGAGGGTTTGGGGTTTAGGGTTTAGGGTTTAGGGTTTAGGGTTTAGGGTTTAGGGCTCGCAGCCTTATTGAGTGTTTGCATTATTCCCTACTGTTTCCATTATTCCCATCGTTGAATTACTTCTGTTTCTTTTTTCATTTTTCAATTTAATTAATTTAATAAAAGTTTGTTTGTGACTACAGATGTTTTAATTTTAATTTTAATTTTAATTTTAATTTTAATTTCTATTTTGTTCCCGAGTTTTGCTCTTATCCAAAATCAATGATTTTTTATAATTATTTAAATTCAAAATTCTCTTTATTGTTTAATTCGTTTTATTATTTTCAGAGAAAACTCCCCTTCAACTATTTTCCTCTTTAGCCATTTTTAATCTTAGTCTGTTTTTAATTTATTCAATTATTATTTTTCAAATTATCTCTGGACATTTCTTTCTTTCTTTATTTCTTTATTTCTTTTATTTGAAGATCGAAAGCCCTTCTAAATACCTTTTTGGAATAATATCTTTTTATTTATTTCTTTTTCGAAATAATTCTTTTTAATTTATTTATTTTCAAAAAATTTTTTTCACTTTTTGCCAACTTGCAAGACTTGGGGTGTATCGACAGCAGAGCTCGCGGGCGGCGCGGCGCATGCAGAGGCGCCAAATAGTTTTATTTTAATTTTATTAAAAAATAAATAAAAATGAAATTAAAAATAAATTAAAATAAAAATAAAATGAAAGAATTCCTTTTCCGCGTTTACACTGGACACCGCGTTGAGGTGTACAGACACCCGGGGCGGCGCAGCGACGCGGGGCGGCGGCGGCAGCAGCAGCAGCAGCAGCAGCAAAAGAAATATGGGAATTATATTTAATAAAACGAACAAAAATAAGAAAATAAATAATAAAAAGAAAGAAAAATGAATTTAAATTCAAGTTTCCCGCGCAGGGGCAGCAGGGCTGCTGCTGCTGCTGCTGCTGCTGCTGCTGCTGGCGGTGGGGTTGGCTGCGGCGCTGCTGCTGCTGCTGCAGCTTTTAGATTCATTTTTAATTCAAATTTTCCTTTTTTTTGTTTTAATTTGAAATTAAAATAAATAAAATGACGCTGGCGATCTTCGGGGAGAGGCAAAGCGGCGAGGACGTCCGTTCCGCCAACGGTGCGCAGCAGCAA